CTAAATTATGAAGCCATTTCTCATTGAAGATTATTGTTTTTAATGTTTCCATCAAATGCTAAAATAAGAGCATACCCCAATAAGAAGTGGGCGGCTGAATGCTAAAACTTCAGAAATAGCAGCAAAAGGATCTCTGATCCAGTGTTTGCTTCCAGTTGGCTCAGGGAAAAATATCTTCATGTTTTATTAAAGCATTAAAATTTTTTTAACTCGCCAATTTTTAAAATAAATTTCTCCACCAGGCATGGTGGCTTACACCTGTAATCCCAGTACTTTGGAAGCCAAGGCAGGTGGATCACCTGAGGTCAGGAGTTTGAGAACACCCTGACCAACATAGTGAAACCCCATCTCTACTAAAAACACAAAATTAGCCAGGCGTGGAGGCACATGCCTGTAATCTCAGCTACTTGGGAGGCTGAGACATGACAATCACTTGAACCCAGGAGATGGAGGTTGCAGTGAGCCAAGATCGTGCCATCGTACTCTAGCCTGGGCAACAAGAGCAAAACTCCATCTCAAAAAAATAAATAAATAAATATAAATCAATGTCATTCTTCAATAAGCAAATAATCAAATGTTAAGAAACACAGTGAGTCAGCCATGAATCTTACACGAATGATAAATGAATACATCATTTTCATGTAATAAAATATTCATTACATGAATTCATGAATCAGCCATTCATACAGCTGAATCTTCATAAAAAATTTTCTTGCCCAAAGCAGTGGCTTGGGCCTATAATCCCAGCATTTTGGGAGGCTGAAGCAGGTGGACCACTTGAGGCCAGGAGTTTAAGACCAGCCTGGCCAACATGGTGAAACCCCATCTTTACTAAAAATAGAGAAAATAAGCCAGGCGTGGTGGCGTGTGCCTGTAATCCAAGCTACTAGGGAGGCTGAGGTTGCAGTGAGCTGAGATTTTACCAATGCACTCAAGCCTGGATGAAAGAGTGAGACCCCGTATCCAAAAGGAGGGGGAAAAAAAAAAAAAAAATCTTATCCTCAGCAATAAAAATATCATAGTGCTTAGACCATCAAATGAAAGGGTAAAGCTGTTCAAGACACTACCTACTTTGCTAAGATGTTCTACTTAAGGCACTCAAATTTTAGAAAATCTTCATTATCATGAAGAAAAAGATAATGTGATCTCTGTAGCATACCTTCAATTGATTCCATTTAAAAAGTATATGTATATAAAGATAAAGTCAATGTGACAAATGTTAACAAGCATATGTAGGTGAAGGGTATACCAAGTTCACTGCACAATTATTCCTTCAACTTTTCTAGATATTATAAAATTTTTCAACTAAAATAGAAAGTTAGAACACCCTACCCAGTTGAAAAGGGTAGAGTGTTCTAACCCGAGATGATCTAGTTATTTGAGTGAGTCTTTTTCCCCTTATCAGTCAGAATAGTTCAATGTCAAAGAGCTACTACGAACCATGCTCATTTTTTGAAAAGGTGTGCTGCAAAGATGCACAGTCAGTGGACATAATTTGATAGTATTCAGGATGTTGTTATTTTCTTCAGCATTGACTCAAAATAAGAAAATTTATTATTTTCAATCCAAATATTGTATGGGAGTGAAGTAATGTGTAGGCTGGCATTCTTTCTACTAATTTTTCATGTCCAACATCATCCCTTGCAGTATAAACACTAGTGATCTATCAGTATCAACCTCAATATATTTTTTACACTCAAAATAATTAATTAGATGAAAAATCACTTCTGCAGTAGCATGGTTTCCACTAATAAGGAAAATATAGTTAACAAACACTATGTATTCCCTCACATGTGCCAGGGGGTTTCATCTGTTATCAATTTCTTCCAAATGTAAAATGAAATTTCTATCAATATTCCACATTGTTAATATTCTGACATTGAAAGATGTCAATTCTTTACTCTCTAAACACAATACTTTATTATTATCTTTGTGGCTGATTTTACAAGGGTGTCAGAAGCAGTGTGACTTGCAACCTGCTTTTGCTTTGAGAAATGTAAATTTATCTTCTCTGACTTTAGCAACTTATAGTAATCAACTTTTTCCTGAAAAACCCTATTCTATATCTGCTCTAAAAATATTAATAATTCCTTGTTTTATCAAATGAGCTACCATGCTTAGTAATAGATGATAGCAAAAGTTTTGATGGCTTCACTACTACTCTAAAAAAGCCAATGTACTGGAAACTAGAGAATAATAGCTCTCTAGTCCAATCCAGTTTTTGGATACTCAATATCATACTAGTTATCTGAACCTCTCCTTTTTAGTGGCTTAGACAAAAATCAACACATACACAGATTCACTTTGTCTTGGCACACAGGGATTTAAACTGAACATATATACTGCAGTGTTTATACTTCAACTTTATATTTAATAAAATGGTTTTGGGTTTTTTTAATTAATATTAACAGTTCTGGTTGTATCTGCTACTATTTAACAATACAATGAGCCACTTTTAAATAATTGATCTATTTTGGGAACTAGAGATATGATCCACACAGTAACAAAAAAAAAATCAAGTTTAATGAACATAAAATAATATATAAATGACAGGAAAACAGAAAAGCCAAAACAACCTGCATCCTGCTTTAAATGTTAGCTGACACCAAATGACCAATTTAGTCCTTGCAGCACATGTACTTAAAAACAAGTTATGAAAGATCCTTAGGAAAAAAGAGCCTAAGCTTTCTGGCACCAACTGCATAATAATTTTTCCTTCTTGCAAGAAAAAAGAATTTATATCCAGTGTTCTTATGAAAGGTAAATTTACTATATCCTTTCCTTTTAGAAGATAAAGCGATAAAATATTCAGAACCTTCAGTCTCTTTGTCTAGCCTATATTTAAGAAGAAACTTACCCCTTTATAGTTCCCTAGAGTGAAAGAAAGTTGTAAATGGATTCTACTATGGACAGAGGTCATGGAAAAAAAACTCCCATGGGCCGAAAAATTCCCCCTGAGCACAGAAGTTCTTTATAGAGGTTCAGCTGTGTGACACAAAACTCTTATTTGTCCCCCAATCTCCAAGCAGTTTCAGAATTCAAGATCATCAACTGCAGAAACTTTCCACCTTCAAGCAGTAATACTGGAAAGCAGGACATGTAATATGTAAATATTCTTCGGACATTGTATCTCCATGAGAAACAAAAAACAAATAGAACCCTTTAATTGGTCTAAGTGTCATAATATCCATTTCATTTTTATGACAACCTGTTTTCATTTTATGAAAATAATCAAAGGATGATATAATCCAAAAGTAGAGGTTTCCCCAAACTTGACAGACAACAGTATATGAAAGTAATAGATTGAGACATAAGGGGGCTCTATAAAAATTATTAATAGCCTTACAATCACAACTTGGGAAATGTATGTAAACAAAATTTCTTTACTGTAGAAATTCTGTACTACAGGGATTTATAGACCATAATTTCAAAGACATTAATTTAAAGTAAATGTGATTAAATATTCATTAACTATTTATTAACCCATTTATGCCAGAGGTTGCAATTTTTTGAATTTTTGCAGTCACACCTTGGCAATGACCTTGAGCAGTAGGATAGTAACGCCTACATTCTTAGCATTCCAATAATGGAACACTAAGCATAGATGGGTTAAATCAAACTGACCATAGTAATAAGTATTCAATCTCTAGGCTGGCATGGTAGCTCACGTCTATAATCCCAGCACTTTGGGAAGCCAACAGGGAAAAATCACTTGAGCCCAGGAATTCAAAACCAGCTTAGGCAACATGGCGAAACCCCAACTCTACAAAGAAAAATACAAAAATTAGCAGGTGTGGTGGCACGCACCTGTAGTCACAGCTACTCAGTAGGCTGAGGTGGGAAGATTGCTTGAGCCTGGGAGGTAAAGGCTGCAGTGAGCCACGACTGCACCACTGCAGCCTGGACAACAGAGTGAGGCCCTATGTATCTCAAAAAAAACACACACATACACACACACACACACAATATCTGAAGGATTTTCAGGTTTTACTATGTTAATTTGCTATCTGTTCCTATAACACTGTAATTCTTTGTACGTGTCTAATATTTTACACTTTTTAAATAATAGTTTCTTTTGTTTTTGGAAATGGAGTTTTGCTCTTGTTGCCCAGGCTGGAGTGCAAAGCCATGATCTCAGCTCACTGCAACCTCTGCCTCCCAGGTTCAAGAGATTATCCTGCCTCAGCCTCCCAAGTAGCTGGGATTACAGGCATGCACCTCCACGTCCAGCTAATTTTGTATTTTTAGTAGAGATAGGGTTTCTGTTGGTCAGGCTGGTCTCGAACTCCTGATCCACCCACCTCAGCTTCCCAAAGTGCTGGGATTACAGGTGTGAGCCACTGCACCTGGCCTTAAATAAGTTTCTTTTCCAAAAATGTAAGCTCTTTGAGAACAGCAAGCAATATTATTTGTCTTTTTTTTTTCTTAATCACTTTCTCAACAACAGCAAAATAAAACTCAAGAGTTTAAATGATCTTTCTGAGGTCATAAGACATACTCAAACCTATATCTGATTTCAAATGTAATGCTCTCCTTCTTTGCCAAATTGTTCTCCTATTTACACAATATCAAATCCTTAAAAAGTAATCTGCAGGGCCAACTACCTTGGAAATGTTTATGTTCAGATGTCTAACAACTGAAGAAAAAGTGCTATTAAAATTATTTTATCTATGCTAAGAATCAGCAGAATACAGTTAAGGTAAAAGGTTAAGGTTAATCATTCAGCAGAGTCTGAAAAATAAATAAGAAACAGAGCCTCATGCTTTAATTTATAATTCCTATGGATGGCAGCCAGCTACTCATACTGGGTATTCCCTATGTTATTGACTGCATATGACTAAAAGTTAAGATTGACTACACAGGGCAATAACTAGTAACATGAGAATTTGCAAGAAGTTATGGCAGTCAGTTACAAAAGACTAAACTAATTTTTCTTAATTTAGAAACAGTCATAAAATATCCTTCTATTTTGATGTAATTATGCAGAATTATTTACATACTCTTCTTAATGTTTTTGGTTTGTGGATGTGGCTGAATTCCTCCAGCAGGAAGTCCATAAGTGCTTATTCGTTGTACAAGGCTTGCTACATTCCCATGCCTTTCCCGTCTGATGGGCAAACTGTCATCTTTGAATTCTGTCTCTCTCTTAATTTCCTACAAAAGAGAAAATAAAGAGGCAAGCTAAGTTACATTTTATTTATACTAAATCCTCAAATGTAAAATATCAAAAAATAGCTACAGTGATTACTATATAAATCATAGTATCAATAGTTTTCAACCTTTGCTATGCTCAAACATATCCGAAGAATAAAACACATTTTAGTTACAGTGACTCATGAGGTTAAGTTTTATCAGAACTGGAGAAGAAGATAAAAGAGGCTCAAACTCCACCCCCATTACCCACCCCAAGATACAAAGAAACACTGAGATACTGAGATACAAAGAAAAACAATACTTCAAAGTCAGAAGTGGACAAACTTTCTTTAAAGTGTCAGACTGTAAATATTTTACAATTTGCAGGCCATGCACTCTGTTGCAACAATCAACACTGCTATGTGTGCTATAAATGCAATCATATATTTAAATGAATATAACTATGTTCCAATAAACTTTACAGACACTAAAATTTTAATTCAAAATAATTTTATATGTCATGATATATTATCCTTTTGATTTTTTCCAACCATTTATAACATTCTTAGCTCATGGGTCTTACAAAAACAGGCGGTATTCAGACCTGTCCTGTGGGCTGGTAGTTTGATGGCCCTTGATCTAAGTCATGGCTATAAAATAAGACATGTGAACCATCATGGAAAAGTATAAAATTGTATTGAAAGACAAGAAGACAAAAACAAAGTTATGCCATGTTCAGTAACTGAAAACTCAATATCATAAAGATATCAGTTCTCCCTTAAAATTGATGTAATAAATCAATGCAAGTGAAGTATAAAAAAAATTTGGAGCAGCAATTTAATAACCTGTTTCTAAATTTATACAGAACAAAAGGCTAAGAACAGTGAAAATACTTCAAGGAAAAGAAAGAGAAGGGACTTTTTGTTAACCAAAATACAAAGAAAAACCATAACAATATAATCAGACAATGTGCTACTGGAATTAAAGACAGACATACAGATAAATGAAACAAAACAGGGAATCCATAAACAGACAAACTTAATTTAAAACAGAAAAAGTGAGGAAAGATAGAATCTTAAAATACATTGTGCATGAAAATCTAACGTTCCATATTTAATAGGAAATGAAACTGGATACCTACCTCACTTATTTCATATTAAAATTAACAATTTTAACTTGATATAGCAAGTATTTTATATATTTATTATATATAAATATGTAATATATTATATGTAATATATATAATATATATATGTTTTATATATATATATTTCCCCCTTCAAAGTCAGAAGTGGAAGACCCCCAGACAAGGTCTTCCTCTGTTACTCTCAGGTTGGAGTACAGTGATGTGATCACGGCCTGCTACAGCATCAACCTCCTGGGCTCAAGCGATCCTCGTGCCTCACCTACCAAAGTACTAGGATTAATTACAGGAGTAAGCCATGGTGATCAACTAAGTATACATTTTTTAACTTTTACAACAGAACACTTCTATCTCAAGCTCATAAATTATGACGATTGTAAAAGTACTGCAGATCGCTTTAAAAGTATCTTGTGAAAAGGATTTTTAAAAAACATACTTCAAATACTTGTGAACTGATAAACTAGTTTTTTAATACAACGCAGAAGTACTGTAATTATTAATAACTATATTTAAAAAAAAAAATCAATGTGGAACAGGAAAGAATACTGGTAACCTATCCATTTCCAAGATTTGAGAGTTGTGCAGTGCCCAAAAGGTGTACACATTTCATTAGTAATAATTGTAATTAAAAATAAAGTGTTTTTTCTTTCAGTTTCTGTGTATTATTTTTAAATGGCTAACTTGTTAAAATATAAACACTTATTAAGTTTCTTGAATTCAACAATAAGTACAACTCTTAGGTCTTTCTTTTGGTGTAGGAGCATCAAGTAATAATGACAGAGACAATAACGGTGTTGTGTAAACCAAGAAAGTTTGGGAATCTCTGGCACAGCAATTGAAAATGAGAATTCTTAAAGAAATTTTTTTACTCTTAAAAGCTGATTATCTTAGTATGATACCAAAAAACACATTTTTGGGGTAGAGATAGGATCATGCTATGTTGCCCAGGCTGGTCTTAGCTCCTGGGCTCAAATGATCCTTCCTCCTTAGCCTCCCAGAGTGCTGGTACTAGTTTTACCCAGCAAAAACCCACAAATTTTAAAATAACATTCAGTTATATGTTTAAAAGATAAAAAAGCAATTACTTTGTAAATAGAGAAACAGTTCTAGCAATATATATCCACAAATACCAAACTAAATAAGACACTGAATGAATACTACTCCTTAATAAAACTCCTGGTTCAATATACACTGAAGTAAATTTATATTTGTGCTACTTGAAACAGTATCACCTTTCTTCTCTTTAGATTTTCATAAATACTTATTGAGCACCTACTAGTACTAGGTAGTAGCTAGGCATACAAATATTAACAAGAGAGACTGTCTTTTGTTCTTATAGTGCTGTACACTTTACAAAAGATTACTTAACATAATCAGGCAGTTAAAATTCAGTGTAATAAATATCCAAAAACTGATTATCTTAGTATGATATCAAAAACAATCCAAACATCCATCAACAAATGAATAAACAATGGAATACTAAGCATTAAAAATGAAGACGTTATAGAGACACAAAAACGTCCATGAATTTCTAATTCTAATTGAAAGAAGCCAGACACAAAATATACGTGGTACATTAAAAATCTCAGAAAATACAAACTAATATATAGATTAGAAAGCAAATCAATGGTTTCGGGGTAGAATCACAGAGAGAAACAAACAGTTAAATGGCACAAGAGCTCTTGATAAACACATACAGCCTCTGCATCTTCATTGTGCCAATGGTTTTATGGTTGTATACAATTGTTTAAAAACTTACTGAATTTCACATTTTAAATGGATGCCACTTACTGTACATAAATTATACTTCAATAAAGGTCTTTTTAAAATTTTTTCATGATAAATGCTATAAATAGAAAACACCAGATGCCTAACACAGGAAGTACAGCCAATATAAACTCAGAGGTGGTAAGGCAAATCAGGATGACTTATTGGAGAAAGTGACATCTTTACTAAGAAAAAAAAAAAAAAAAATGAGAATAATCAAGGTACAGAGAAGGCAACAGGAAATGTCCTAACAGGAAAGAATGATGTATGAGCAGGCCGGAAAGCAATGGGGAGCACAGAGCTTCTGAGGAATGAAGACAACACTAAATTTAGTTGGAGCATGGAAGGAAAGGAAAGATGATGAGGGTGGTAAAATTCAGGAACAGCAAAGCGAGGAACAGCAAATCGAGCAGACAGCTGATTTAAGCTCTCTGAGTCTGGGTAGGTAATCTGAAATACAGCAAGTCCCCACTTAAGGTCTTAGATACTTTCTTGGAAACTGTTACCTTAAGCGAAACAATGTACAAGGAAACCAATTTTACCATAAAGCTAGTCGACCTAAAAAAGAGTTAAATTTGTGCAACATACCTCTGGGTCACAAAAACATCACCAAACTCATAAATAAAGATGAAAACACTTCTAATAATAAACACTGAAATAAATGTGAGCTACAGATGCATTTAGCAAAATTAATAAAAACAAGTAAGATAATTATTTAGCCACCTATTCCAGTTCAGGGTTTCAGAGCCTATCCCCAGCAGTTCAGGGTACCGGGCAGGAACCATCCCTGTACAGAACATCATTCCATCGCAAGGCTCACTCAGACTGGGAAGATGTAGACACACCAATGAACCTCAAGTCTGCATCTTGGGGATGTGGGAGGAAAGTGGAGTACCCAAAGAAAACTCATGCAGACCGTAGAATATGCAAACTCCACAGACAGTGGCCCCAGCCAGGAACAAATTTTTTTTTTTAATCAATATTATAACAAAACAACACTGAACAAAATGAATTTATGTGAGGATCTAATAGAAGATGAGATGTTGCCTTAGTGGAGTAAGTGGAAGGCGGACAGCACTAGAGGTAAATATGCCAGATGAAAGCAGAATGTGCCCTAAGTTGTAATAGTGACAAAGGGGAGAAATGCTAAAAAGAGTCTAAAAATATTCAAGAAGTACAATCTAGATAATTCAGTAGATACAACCTAAGAAGAAAGAGTCAAAGATGTGGGCAACTGCTCAGATATTTGAGGACAGAGCGATACACTGTCTCATCCCACAAAAAAAGTAGTAAATTAGAAGCTCAAATAGCCATTAGTTGTGAACTATTTAAATAAACTATAGGATATGCATATGATAAAATACTGTGTAGTCATTAAAGAATGATATATTTATATTACAAATGATTCTGAATCACACTATTCAATAAAACAAAGCAATTTTATAACACCACATATATAAAACGTTTTATTAAAAATACATGCTACCCAGAAGCTTCTTAGCCAACAATATGACACAAACATATATTTACAAGTATAAGCTAAAAACCAAATGTAGGTAAAGATGACGACTTGATTTTTACTGGTGAACCCAATTTTCTTGACTCTGAACTCCCATGTAACTCTGGGTAGAAAACTAAATCTTGCCACTTTCAAAAATACCTAATGAAATCCAGGGTGGTGTCACTGGCACAAGCAGTATCCAGTACTTTTTCTGTTGGGGACAAACAACTAATCTGCAGGTTATCACTCAACGTACTCCAAGCAGCTTCCTGGCACAGTTGGCAACTCAGTTACTTCCATGTCCCATACCCAATCACCAAATATCAGATGCTATCCCTTTCTTCTACTGGACAGCCTCTTCAAGGTAGCATATTATTTCATTCATTATGGTGCACTGTGCCCACAGGAAATAAGATCTACTTTATATGAAAATTACCTCCTTCAGGAAAGGACTGAAAGAGAAGCATACTTTGTTTTCACACTCCTTTCTATTCTCCACATTATAATTCTCCCTTCCCTTTCTTTCACCAAACTCTTCACCTCTTTGCTCCTATGGAATCATTTTGGTCACTTGGATATAAGAAATTTACAGCCTAGTTCTCTGTATAC